CTGTGAATCAGTTTTCAGTTTTCCTTTCTTTCTTCTAAAAAGTTTAAGACAAAGAAATAAAAAGTTAGTAAAACAATGTATACCTCTATCCTTGATATTTTCAGATAGATTGATGTATGGAGTTAAGTATGTTGCAAGTGTTTTATGGCTTGGTCTAAGGTTTTGTACTTCTTTCTTGTTTGTTTAGACTGGTTCACTTTTTTTAAGAAAATTACCAAAAAAGGAAATTTTTTGAAAAAAGGAGAATCAGCGGAAAGAGTTTTTTTAATAGTTCTATTGAATACTTATTTAGAAAGTAAATAATAAAACAATAATTTATTCATAAATCCAACAAAAATAAAATAAATAAAATTATCTAATATATAATTAATAAAATTATTTATAAATTCTAATATAAAAAAAATAAAATTAGAATATATATAGAAAATATTTTTTAAAAACTTATAAAAAAGTTTTCTTATTAAAATAACAACAATGAACTATTAATTTTAATAAGATTGGTAATAAGAAAATCAGATTTATATGACAAATCAAATATATAATATATAATAAGTATAAAAAAATAATAATATAGTATTATTATTATTATTATTGATTTTTTTTTTTTTTTTAAATGGCGACTCAATCTTGTTTTATTAAAATTTTAAATCAGGATATAATGCAAGTATAAGAAATAGTTACTAATAAAACATTTCTCGAATTGTATCTAAGTTGTTAAAATTTTATATTACTACTATTACTTTAATTTTATAAACTATTATTTTTTGAAAACTTCATTAATAAAAAGTATATTACTTATTTTTTAACTACTTTTAATATCTTTATATTGTAAAATTCTAATTACATCAATTTATGATATGTCTTATTATTAGAAAGAATTACTTGAATCAATTTAATTTATACATTAAGAAAAAAGATTTATTAATTCTTCTATATTTTCTTTGATGCATATATTTAGATAAGGTACATTTTTTTTAAAAAAATTTTTTTGATCTCTTATATCACATTTGTTATAAAATTCAACTTTGCTATAAAGACTATATTTTAAATCTTTACTTATTTGATAAAGCCGAAAAAGAAATCTATTCAATAATTAAGAATAGATAACTGCAACTACAAAATATAGTTGTAATATCTTATGATCTTTACTATATTCAGATGGACTCTTTCTTAAAGAAATCAATAATATAAGTGGGGGTATTCTGTATCCATCCATATCAATCTAATAAATTATAGTTTATTTCAGATTCTTATAAGGTTAAGGAAATATATTTAGATATATTAGATAATCAATAAGAACTTGTTTACATTTTTTTACTAATGTGAGCTCTATCTGTTCAATTATAATATAAAAAACTTTGTGCTACTTAAAATTTAGGTCAAATTGAAATAGGCAAAATTCTTTAGAAAAATCAAGAATAAAATAAGTATTATGAGAGTGTTACAGATAACAAAAAAGTAGAAAAATTGGCTCTCATTATTAGACATACTTCTATAATGTTTTTTTTATAATGTGAAATAATAATACATTAGTTCTTTTTTCATTCAAAACTTTTTTACCATTGGTAGAAAAGGGATTTCTTAACCTTTATTATTACTAGAAATCAAGTTTTTGTTTGAAAATAATAAATAGTAAGCAAGAAAAAGGAAAGTAGTTAATAATTCTTGAAATTTTTTTAAGTTGGTTTAAAGAAAGTAATAAGACTTTATTAGCTTAAAAGTATAAAAACTTCTTACAAATGTCTTTTTTATATATGATCAGAAAATTAGTAATAATAATATTATATATTATTATTATTATTGAATATTAGTTAAATTTAAGTTTTATTAAATATATTTCATAATATAAAGTACATATAAAAAAATAATTAAAACCAATAAAACTAACAATATGATTATTGAAACTAATTTTGAATGTGTTATTGTCTTTTAAAATAAAAAATAGTAAAAAATTACTAGTATTAATAAAAATTTTAAAAGAAAGAAACTAAAAAATATATATAGTACTGTATATAATAATTAATATATTATTTTTTATTATACAATTTATATTACCTTCATATAAAAGGATTCTATTGAGTTTTATTTGATAATAAACAGACAATATATTCTAGAATAGTTTTTATATATTGATACTATATAATTACAAATAAAGCAAGACAAGCCAATATTTAAAAAAAAAACTATATAACTTATATAAAAAAATTTTTTTTTTTTTATCACAAATGAGCATTAAATACGGGCTTTTATTAGAAATTTAATTCATTAGCTTGACATTAATAGTCTTTACATTGTAAATTAACTATAGCCTATTGCGATTTGCTTTCCATGACAGACTACCAGTCATTGACTGGGTGCATCATGCAAAGCTCGAATGTCTAATGCTTATTCGAAAATGATAATATTATTGATGGAGTAAAAGTAGATAAGTTAGTAGCATTGTTATGGTGGTTTGATGTCTGTATTATTTGTTCAAGAAGAAAATCTTTGTAGTTATTATTACTGCTATTGGAAGTGAAGGATATTGCCTTGGTGAGTTTCCATTTGATTCCATTTAAAGAAGCTGTGTTCGTTGTGGCAAATCACTGTTTCCATATCTTGTTGAGGATTTTAAGAGATTTATTGGCTAATTGTGCTTTGTGTTTTGGTTTGTTGAATTGGTTAAAGAATTGATTAGAAACTCCTAATACTATTTTAAGTAATATGACACCATTATTAAACTGGTGGAGATGATTAAGGTTGCATGTTAAAGAACTTTTTGTTGTCTGTTTGTTGATTAATTCTTTAAAAAAAGTGCTGAGTTTTTTTGCTTTTTGATTCAAATATTTGTTGTTTTTATTGCATGTGAAAACATGGATTTGATCCTCTGTAGGATGTTCACATCTAGGACATTTGGTATTTGGATAGAGTAATGGATATCGTTTATTGAGTTTAGATCTTGTAGATAAAGAGTTAAGAAGTAATTTTGTTTGAAATGTTACTAAAGTTCTGAATTTTGTTTTGTCAGCAGACCAGCATTGCTTGTTTGCTAATTTGAGTATTTTAAGTTTATCAATAGTTTTGGGTTTGTGAAACATGTTGATACTAAGAGTGGCTGCAATTAGATTGCAAGAATTATTAATAAGTTTGATCCAATATATGATACTGGTACCTATTTTGCTATTGATGTGTGGAGATGAATTATAGTTATTAATGTTGATAGGTGGAAGTGATAAGATTATACTATTAGCTGATAATTCAATTGAGTTTTTTTCTTTTGAAAACTCCAACATGATATTTTTTGTTTCTGCTAGATTTTGACAATAATTAATAAAGTGACTATAGGGAACTCTAATCTGTTTGTTTATATATGAAGGGAGAGGGAACAGTAGGTTTGCAGAAAGGTAACATTTGATAGTTGTATTCGAGTCAGCCGTTTCAATTTGATTTATTAAAATAATCCAGATTTCATTTAGTGAATTAGAAAAGTTGGAGAATAATGTTCGAGTTGGTGATTTTTCCAGACAAATAAGTTATTGTTGTCAAGTTATGATTATCTTATTAGGTACACTTATCATTTTAGCTTGATCAAATATGATAATTATAAAAGGTAGTGAAACAGGTTGTTTTGGCAAAAGTTGGGCTTTTATTTCTTCTAAATTATTCAATAGTTAAAAGGAATTGTTTTTTTTCTTATACCAAAGTGATATCACTTTAGTTATAGGTTGAGAGATTATATATGGCTGAGAAGAACAACAACATAATACTATCTGATGTATGTGAGGTTCAAGTATATGATGACGTTCTTTGATAGTTGATGTGTCTCTATTATTTCTGCGTGATTTTATAAATTCTGGAGATTGGTCTGTTGTGTTAAAGGCCCAAAACAATGGAGTTGGATTAGGTTTCGGGAGCATGTTACCCTTAATAAGTGGAGATATGTTGGCTATGTTTGAGAACCATGTAGGTATTGGTCTTGGATTAATCTTCCCTGCTTTTGTGTAGAATTAATTCCATAAATTTTTGGTTGTGGAGTTGAAACAAAAGAGTTGTTTGATTGACCTCATATTTTATCTATATAGATGAAGTGCTGTTATTTTTGAGATTCTAGTATGTAATCCTATTGAAAGGTGTGTATCACCATCCTCAAAAGGGTATTCCAGAGGGCAAATATTGATATGATATTTATATGAGAGTAAGGCTATTTCAGTGATCTATGAAGATTTGAATAGGTGAAGTTTGCATAGAGGGCATTTTCAAATGACTGTGCTGACCTAGATTGAGTGAATTTCTTTTTTGATAAATGGAAAAGTGATTGGACTTGTTAAGATTATGACCAGGAGCTTGATAAGAGTTTGACTTTTGTGATCACTCAATGAAGTGAGATTCAAGCCGGCTTGAGAATAAACCATCTTGTTGATAATGGTACATTCAACACCTAGTTTTGTTTTAATTGCTTTGTTTGTTGTCACTTGTAGTTTATTAAGATCACTTTTTTTTAGCTGAGTTATTTGGAGGGCATACTCAAGTTGAGCTGGAATAATCCATTGTGAAACCTGATTGGTGATAGAACCATTTCATCACTTTTGTTGGGATATACATTTAGCGAATTTACTTGTTTTATCTAGTAAGTTCCTCTTTGTGGCCATGTCTGAAGACTTTTCAGATAAATATATGCCTAAATATTTAATTGGCTAATTGAAAGGTTTTGATATGATATGTTTGCCTTTTACTATTAAACTTTGTTTTCTTTTGTTACTTTTTATGAAGTGGCTGGTGATCAGGTCAGTTTTTGTTTTGTTACATGTTATGTAATTCATTTTTAGAAATAAAGTGAAGATATCTATTGCCACCTGTAGTGGTCCTAAGGAATGAGATAATATTGCTATGTCATCAATATATGCAAATATTTTGTCTGCCTGTGGTAAGGTGTTATGAATTCTAGAGATGACTGGATCATAAAATATTGTTCAAAGTAATGGGGCTATTGTTTCACCTTGATCTAGGCCTTGGGATACAACTATTTGGGGAGTTAGGCTATAATGTGCAATGAATTGAATCAAGTGTTTTTTTAGGAGATTTAGTATTAGGTTGTTGAAATTTGTTGGAGTCTTTATTCGGGTGAGGGCTAGTTCCAAACTTTTTAAATTGACAAAGTCATAAGCTTTTGAGATATCAAATAATACTAGTCAATATTGTTTATTAAAGTTGTATGAAGAGCTAATTAAGGATCTCAGGATAGCTATAGGTTCCAAAATGCTTTGGTTTTTTGTACTGGCAAAATTGAATAATGAAAGAATATTGTTGTTCAGAATGATATTTGATAGTTGAGTGTTTAAAATTTTTGTGAAAATCTTTCTGCTTGTTTCTATAAGAGCGATAGGATGTGTATCACTTAAACTATGAGACCATATAAGCTTCTTAGATAGAAGTGTAATAATGGAGCTTTTCCAGTGTCTAGGAGGGTGACTATTGGACAAAATATTATTGAAGAGATTTATAACCATTTTTTGTGTATTTGAACTTATGTGTTTCTATAATTCATAGAGAATTTTTATAGGACCGGAGACCTTGTTTACATGAAATGTTGCAATTGTTGACATGAATTCTTCTAGCATGATTTTTTCTATCAAGTTATTGTATAAGTCAGTTTGTATGTTTTGTTTTGGATTGTATTCAGAAACCCATTCCTCCTTCATTTCGAAGTTCTTTGGGGTTAGATAATTCTGATAATAATTGATAATTATATCATTAAGGATCTCTGGATCATCTTGAAGTTCATTTCTATTATGAAGGATCGATAGGTCATGGGAGAATTTAAGAGCTCCCATGGCCATTCTGATATATTGCTTTAGTTTAGACCAGAATTTTGTGAAATTATCAGTAATATTTCTCTGAATTTAATCGCTGATATATTTAGCCATTTGGATTTGTTTTTTCTTTAGAAGCAGTTTGAATATTTTAGAGAGAGATCTAGGGCTGAATGGTGGTGTTGAAATTTTGTTATGGAAACTTTTGACTGGTTGCTGAAAAGATTTTAAATTTTTTACTGATGCTTTTGATTTTTGTAGAGCTGTCTTGATTTGTTTGATGGCTTTGTTTATTTCTGGAGATATTTGTTAAGGTTTTGATGGAATTTGTTGTTTTCTTATGGGGATATTTGAGTTTGGTACTTTTTTTATGGCCATTTCGAGTGAGTTTCAAGTGAAATATAGGTTTTTGAGAAGGTATAGATCAATATCTTCTTGCAATAATTTTATCTGTTATTTTGTGGCTTTGTTAAATTGGTAAGCTCTTATTGAAAAGAAAATGCATTGTGGTTTGTATTCGAACCATTGGAAGCAAGCATTGATTATTTTATGATCTGTTGATATGAAATTGTTTTCTATAATATTATAACTTAGGATTTTGCTGCCCAAGTTGTGTGTAATCCATAACTGATCAATTCTTGATGCACTTGTTGTTGTGTAGTAAGTATAAAGATAATCTTTTTCTGTTGCTTTCGCTATATCAATCATGTTCTTTATATGTTGATAGATTTTTCTTTTCCGGTTGTTTGTTGAAGCATTTATAGCTGGAACTTTTACAGGATATGTATTAAAGTCCTCTCCGATTATAAATTTAGCTTTTGGGTATAATAATAGTAGATTATTGAAGGAAGATATAGCTTTTTCTCTAAAGTCATTATTGTGTGGTAAGTATAAGGCTATGATGATAATATCTATTTTGGATTTGAACTTTAGGTGGGTTGCACACAAAAATTCATTTTTAACATGTGTTTTGAAAATGTGACATGATAAATTTTTAGGAATAAGTAGGCATGTTTCATTGCTGGGGGAGTCAGTAGGTATGCTGGTTATAATTGTGTAATTGTAGAGTTTTTAAGGTAAAGGTTTTTGTAGGATATGTTTTGTTTCAGTAAGAATATAAATATTTCTGGGATTATCTATTGATGAAATTAAGCATTACAATTTTCCTAATTGATTCAATCCTTGGGTGTTTAGAACAGAAATTGTAAGAAGATTTTTTTTTATTTTTGATAACTTGGATATTAATTGTATGAATGAGTATTGGGGACTTGGTTTGTGAGAAGGTGATAAATTGTTAGATGGGTGTTTGTAGAAGGGTAATGAAGTGTGGGTTTCTAAAGAGTAACTATTATTAGGTGTGGATTTAGTCATTGATAAAACTTGGGAAGAAGAGTTGCTTCAGGATCAAGCAACTCTGACTCTACTATAAACTCATCAGGAAGGATGCAGAAGTAGAAAAAATCTTTAAGAATTGTTAAGTTTGTATTAAAATTTTCGTTATGTTTAATAGAAAGATCTATCTCAATTTTCTTTTTCTTTAGAATTTCAGTGATTAATTCAATGCTTGGGAGTTCTGGAAGATAGGAAGTAATTTACTCTCTAAGAATTGGGCCATAGAATGAGGATTTTATTTTTTAATATGTTTGTTAAAAATCAGGTTATTTTGATTAAGCAGTTCTTTGGTAATGCCTAATATATGTTCAATGACTGAAAAGTTAGTGGGAATTGGAGGACGGTCAAGCTGTTTAAGTAATAGGTCAATCTATTATGAGTTTAATGAAAGAAAATAAGAGTAATATGGGGAAAGTTGTTGGAATAGCATGTTAACTTTTTCTTGATCTGTGATGGGAAGTGAGATACTGGTGTTTTCACTGTGCCAATGTGGTAATTAAAGTGGGAGTTTTTGGATATAATAGTTATTTGACAAGAATTGGACTGCAAAGTTATGTTGTCTAAGGTTGATAATTGCATGATGGATTTGTGTTAGGTCATTTGGGATGGGGAACATGAGTGCTAGATTCTTGGGAAGTTGTTGATACGAGTCAGGAAGTGGAGATTTTGGTGTAGGAAGATCAAAGTCTGAGTCTGGAAGTTTTGAGGGTACATAGTATAATTCCTTGAGTAGTTTAATCAGGTCTTTTAGATTTCAGAGTTTGGATCTCTCACTGATAGAAAATTCCACTTGTAATTCGCTTGGAGGATTATTTGGATCTTCAGATAGATTAGGATGTTGTTTGAAATAGTTGTTGGAAAGAAGATCAAAGTTGTAAAAACTTCTAAGAGCTTTGGCTATAGCATCTATAAGGCTGGGATTACTTAAAGGCAAGGGATGAGGGGTTTTATTTTGATTCTTGAAGGTATATCAGAGAAATCTGTGGGGAGAGTCAGGAGTTTATTTTTTATTTGTTTCTCAGTCTGAGTCAAGATTTTCTTATAGTCAATTTTTTTCAGGGTAGAATCGATAAAGAAGTTAAAACCAAATTCAAATAACTCAGCTGCCTGCCAATAATGAAGAAGAGAAAGATTGGTTGATCTGAGAAATGTGGCCAAGATGGATCTATTGAGGATAATTCAAATTTTTTTCTTCGTGGTCCGATTAATATAGCCAATATTATGTTTATTCATATAGTTGTTGTGAAACTCCTTTTCAATAGCTTCATATTTCTTTTGATAATTTTCTTTAATCTCATTTGTTTGAGTGAAAGAGTGGAAGAATAATCTGTCTCTATATGACAATTTGGTGAGGATCGCAGATAGTGATTTTGGTGATGGAATTGTTGAAAGATCTCTGATTTTTATATATAATTCAACTAAAGCTTTGGGATCTCTGGGTATACTAGTAATTAAATCAACTGTCTCGGATATTGTTTAATTGTAATTAGAGGGATTTGAAGTTCTAATATCATGTTCATTAATAGAATATTCTGTTTTGTCTGTCCATTATTGTTGATTAAAATTGTATTGTTATTGATCAATTTCCAGATTTGAGTTAGTGTTGAATAATGGGAGGGATTGATCTTGATTGGTGCTTTTATTTGAACTATTTTTAAAATTATTGTCTACTGAGGAATTAATATGATAATGATTAGGTTCAAGGTACATTAATCAGTATTAGGAATATTGCAGATCTCCTTATTTGGTTGGTCTGTTTCCATGGAATGGTCTTCTTATGCAACAGGAGTGTTGGGAGGGGATATAGAAGTTTCCCTTTTTTTGAGAGAAAAAGTATTGGAGGATTCATCGGTAGAAATAAAGATTTGATTCCAAGGACAATGGAGTCTGTAATTTATAGTTTTTTTGACAACTTTTTTGACAGCAATTTCTTTATTATTTTTGAATAAATTGAAGTTTGTTTGATATTCCATAAATTGGTTTAATTAGGTGTTGCAAAGTTTGTAAGAATTTCTGTGATCACTTTTAAACCAGGAGTGAAAAATTTGGAGGGGCATTTTGATTCAAAGAGAACTTGAATAATAGCTAGTGGTTGATTTGAATTGTTATTATCAAGTTTGTATGTAAGGATTAGCCATGAAGAGGGACAATGTTGTAAAAGAGAAACTTGAATAGAGGCTGCTGGTTTCATTGCATAAACAAGAGAGGTT